CAAAGTGTCATCTGTTATCATTTGAGATTGAGGAATAGGCTGGTCCTGCTTACTATCACCATTGCACATCACAATTTAATGAGGGCTACTCCGTGTTGACGGTATCCTATAACGGGCCGTCAAATGCTTGTTTTACTCGTTTCTTTTCATTAATGTAGGTTCAGCTACATTTTGGTCATGCTCTCCGAGAATGCCAGAATTTGTACAGCTTGCCAATGCATTGTTGCAGAAAGCGACATTCGACGAAATTCTCGCTACTTTTACATTTCTTTATCATGGTATTTTGCGTAAAGCTATAGTGACGAATCCGTTTGTCTTTATCAAATAATAATAGATCGTGAATAACATAGAAGAAAAAAGTAACGAAGTTAATCATCAGAAATATGGGCAGTAGCATCGAGCCGAGACGAATAGAAATATTAAATATGTATGCAGCAGATATGCAACAGTGAATCAATTGAATCGCTAACGCATATGCATCAATAAATTAATCGATTTCAGACACGCTGGCTATCGGTGTTGATTTCGTATCGGTCTTAATCGATCCCACTATTGCGATCATATCAGCGCTACATATATCTCACTTTTAAAATACTTAGTTGTACTTTTCAAACTATTCTAATAAATAACTTACCACAGCTCAATAACTGTAACCGAATGATAGTATAAGTTTGGGCGATGTGTTACAGTCAATTTAGGTTATACGATATATGCGACGCTGTTTGTTTTTTTCTCGTATTATTGTTTTGTTACTTTAGGCAGATAACGGCAATATACTTTTCTTATCTACCTTTTTTTCTCTTTTATCATCTCATATGGATATCTTTCAGCTACGAAATATTTTGGAGTGTTAGTAATATATGCTCTCACCCACTCTGAACGCCGTTTAATTCGAAAACAGTATCAATGGATATAGGGCATGGGTGTGTATGTCGGATGTGGATGTGAGTGTTAATGAAGAGAAGACTAACAACCACCCAGACTCTTCCACACCCACACCCACACCCGCACCCACATCCACCCACACCCACGAAATCAGTTACTTCTCCCTTGTGAAAATGTGAAAAATTATATTTTTTTGGTGAAAGTAGTCAATAAATCTCTTTTTCGACACCTGTCGGATGAAAAACCGAATTTATATCACTACTCTGCTGAGTATCTCATAGCTTGAAACATGTTTGATGACCTGTTGACAGCGCACCTCTGATTATCGAGACAGTATTCCTCACTTTTGTGATTTCGAACCCTCCCCATGCGAGAATGACCGATGCGTGGTCATGGTTATTTATCCTTCAGTATCTTTTAAAACATCGCCAACTTGAACAATGTTCAAACAAGGTACCAGTCTAGTTTAATAATGTTTACAGTGATTATTATTAGCACTTTGTTTTTATTTCTAGATGAATGAAACATCAGTTCTGGCTCTATTACATTTATGCCTATCAAAAGAACAACGATTAAATCATGATATTAATATTATTCGGTTTGACTGTCAACGTTTAGTACGGAGACATTGTCGTCAATCAAATCTTCAAAATAAACTCATAATAACATTATTTACGCTTGTCGATAATTCAGCTGAAATCAATCGACCTCGTGTATGGTCTTTTAACAAAAATGAACGTTGGTGGACAGAGAGTGTACCTACAATGACGGACCAACAGTTCAAAGAAAACTTTCATCTGGAACGCTCTACCTTTTCGTTAATACTTCATGAAATAGGACCGTAATTACAGAAAATGATACAAATTTTCTGGTAACTATACCAGTTGAAAAAAGAATTTGTTGTGCTTTATATTCACTTGGCTTATCATCAGAGCTAAGAGCTATTGAAAACCTTTTTGGAAATGGAAAAAGCACAGTCGGTGAAATATTACATGAATTTTGTGCAACATTGATCGATTTGTTCTTTTTTGTCTCATCAAATTCCCAAATAAAAATCAAGAAATTGAAGATACAATTAAAGGGTTTTTTAATAAGTTGGGTTATCGAATGTACATTGGTGTATTAGATGGAACACATGTAAGCGTTAAACCACCCTTAGGATTAGAAACGGATTACTACAATAACAAGAAATTTTATTAGGTAGTAATGTTAGCTGTGATTAATTCTGATTTACAATTTACCTATATCAACATTGGCGCGTCGGACCACTGCAACGACTCGTCAGTATACATCCGATCAAATTTATCAGAAGTTATACAGCATTCCATTTATCAAGACCATTATGTGCTGGTAAATAACATAAAAATACAATGCCACTTAATTGCTGATTCAGCTTTTGCATTAGATCGGACACTAATGAAGCCTTCACCAGAACGTCCAGATACGCCAAGACATAATATTATATTTAATTATCGATTAAGCGATGTAGGTGGACCGTCGAACGAGCTTTCGGTTTATTGAAGAACAGATTTCTCTGTTTGCATAAGAAAAAAATGGAATTTGATCTCAACAATACGACAAACATGATTAAAGCAACATCAATTTTACATAATTTATGTGTTGTTTATAGAGATTGTTATGAAATTGAATGGAATATTCCACAAACAGTTCACAAAAACCTTCTTGTAATATATCAACAACAGATGGTATTGATGTTAGACAAGCACTCACTCGTTTTTTGTTGCAGAACCCCTTGTGATTTTTTTGTTTTTTTCGTTATAAACAATTATCTTTTTGTTTTTTTTGCATTGTAAACAACAAGTAACGTTCATCGTCAAGCGATTCACTTAGCCCTAGACTGATAGAATACATGTACGGATGTAATAGCATAAAAAGCTACATTAAAAAAGTAATACGCAAAATTGATAATATAACCAGTATATCTTAGGCGAGCAGAAAACTTAATTCGGAGAATTCTCACTCTAAGTAAAGATAATGCATTTTACAAATTTAATTTTTTTTGTCGTTTTTGTTTTATTTTTTTTTGCTTTTATAAATATAAATAGCGCTCAATAAGATTAGACAAGAATACGATTTTTTTTGTAATTATATTGGCGCTATTTGTACGTACAAAAATATGAATTATATTATTCATAAAATTTGAGTTTTATTAATCAATATTTTATGCTTAAATTCGCGCATTAATTCTAAACTATTAATAAATTAGATATTCATTGATACAACATTGCACAATCAATCCTACAATAATGAATAATTTAAACGATTTCTTTAAATCCATACTGCTCATTTGGTCTGACTCTCACTAATTAAATGCTTTTCTAAGCCGTTTTACACCACTACCCGAATTATAGTTATTTCATTGACACATTTTATCGATGATTATTATGGGTTCAATTACAACAGTCTTTAGATGGTCATTTGAGCCATAGTTACCGGAATAGTTGTTTGTACCATGGTTGCTATATGGTCACCTGTGCCATAG